TGAGAGAGGAATTAGTTTTCAATCTCTCTCAATAAGATTATATAGTGGCTGGTGGCATCTATCGTAGCGGACACGAAGGTTAAATTTCCCAAGACTCAATACCTATCGTTTACGACGGGCTTACCTTAATATATATATATATATTTTTTTTTTCTTTATTATTTTTTTTCCATATTTTCCGTTGTCTCTTAAAAAAAACAACACTCAAAGGCGAGAAAGATCTAAAAACCTGAAAGAATGAAATGAAATGTGGACTCTCGCGATATAATTTTTCTAGACTAAACTACTTTCACGTTAAACGAGTGACGGGGGATAGAACGGATTAATTAAGTTTTGTCAATTTAATTACTTTTATCATAAATCATTACAAAGAAGGTAAATTGAAAAAAAACTTCGAAAAAGAGAAAACAAATGGTGTAACTTAACAACCTGAGATTGTTGTGTGTTCTTCGATTGATTGCTGGGAGTGTACTTTATCAAAATTTCCATTATTTTAAAAATATTTGTCAATTGGAATCTAAATTCCGACGAGATCTTAAGCACATAAAACCATATTTTAAAAATCCAACATTCTAAAATCAGATGACAAATTTAATAATTCAAAAATCTGATTGCTTTATATTAATTAATATATTATTATTAGATAAATATAATATTAAATTAAATTAATCAATAAACAAACCCTACCCTCTCCAACTGACCCATTTTCCCCAAACCCGTCTCTCTACATTTCTCTCTCATTGCTCTGCTCCCTCTCGCTGACTGCGATGATTGTCGCCATCGTCGCAGCAGCTGCAATTACCAACACCGGCGACCACAATCTGAAGCGGAGAAGGCAGACAAAGCGGAGAGTGTGGAATAGTTGTTCTGGTGGTGCAACGGCGCACGATGGTTCGATGGTTGCAGTCGACGATTTGGTGGATATCTAGGGTGAATGTGGTGGTGGGGGTTTTGAATTTAGATGTGATGTAGATGATTGTGGTGGTGGTGGAAATCGACTCATGTGACCGGTAAACAATATGTGATGTAGATGATATGGTGGTGGTGGAGGATATCTAGGATGAATGTAGCGGTGGGGGTTTTCAAAATATGTTGCATCTCTATGGTCGGAGTAGGCACGGTGTTTGCCTCTGTTTGCGGTGGTGTTCCTCTGTTTGCGGTGGTGGTGTTTGACTGTTTGCGGTGGTGTTGCAGGGTGTTGAGGTTTCTGAGGTGGTTTTTTCTCCCAATTTGGGTGCGTTGGTGATGGGTTTCGCTGGTGCTAGGTGTTGTTGGAGGTTTGTGATAGTTTTCGTTGGTGTTGCAGGTGGCAGTGCTGCCTAGCACGGTGGATTTGGCAGTGGTGGTCGGCGGTGTTGTTGGTGGTCGTGGTCGCAAGTGTTGGTCACAAATTATTTGGTCAACTGTGACCATTAAATTGGTTAATTTGTGATCGGTAAACAATATGTGACCAATAAAAAATATAAATTGTGATCAATAAATAATGTGTGACCCAAAAAATTGTTATTCTGTGACTAATGATTTGATAATTTGTGACTAATTAATAAATCGTGACTTATAAATTTTTCGATTTGTGACTGATGAAAAACCTGTGACCTATAAAAATTTTGAATTGTGACCATAAAATAATATATGACCTATAAATTTTTTGATTTGTAATCGAGAAATAAGTTATAACCAATAATTTGATAAGTGTGACAAAAAATTAATTTGTGAATAATTAATTTTTTGATTTGTGACCGATGAACTAACTATGACATGTAAATTTTTTGAATTGTGACCATAAAATAATTTGTGACATAAATTTTTAATTTGTGACTAAAAAATAATAAATTAGTAATTAAATTGTATAGATATGTGATCTAAATATATTAAATTAATAAAATAATTATTTAAATAATTAAATCATAAATAAATTTTAATAAAAATCTGATTTTTGAAGTTTGAAACTTATTTTCTTAATTTTGAAATATACCATACTTAAAATTTTTCCCTCCAACATTTACTGCAAGACAAGCCTAAAAGAATGTATGGGCCGACAGCCCATCAGATTACACAGGCCCATATAACATTAGCGTGCGGGGCCAGAGAAAAAGGTCCATTACTTCCTGATTAAAGGAAATCAGTGTTAACTCGCGCGGAAGCAGCTATAAGATTTGTATAAGCCAAATGAGACGGACAAAATGCAAATAAACATTAAATTTGCATTGCTCAACTATACAATAATTAAACCAAGTAGTCGAGTGATTTTAGCAACAACAAATGCAAACTTCAATCAGAAAATCCACACGATTATTCGATAAAAAAGAATTACAAGATAGTAACAACACTAAAAATAATGTCATTTCCATTTCTTGAACCTCATAAACTTTCCGCCATGCTTCCCGAACATGCCATGATGCTTCCAACGCTTGCCAAACTTCCCGTGCTTGAACTTTCCATGGTGGCCGAAAAATCCCCCCTGGTGGTGGTATCCACCGTGTGCCAGATGGTGTGCCCCATAAGCAGCTGCAGCAGCTGCAGCACCCCCTGCTAAAACTGCTCCCATACCATATCCGTGACCTGTAAGAATTGGGTACCACAAGAATTATTCAGCATAAAACATATAAATCACAAAGAAACGGGTCCTGAGTAAAATTTAGATACTACGGAGAAAGTTAGAAGAGATAAAAGAGATTCCTTTGAAGGAGAAAGAAACTGATGGATTGCCTTTAGTAATTTAGGAATTAGGAACGTGCATATGAAAATCTTTGGGAAGAGGGAAATGATAACAAATTATGTATTGTGTAACACAAAATACTACCATCTGATAGTTGACAAAAGAGATCAAATGTATAGAAATTATAACTTGGATCAGTGATCTCATATTCTCAATTGAGAAAGACAACCACAACCAAGCATCGAAATAATATAACTTTATGACAATTGATGGAATTAAACATGACTGTCAGGTGAATTCATAATGCTAGGATCCACAGAAGATGATTCTTATGCAGCAAAGTCTATAAAGTGAATAATAGAGGAAGAAGAAAAGGAGATAAATCCAGAAGATGTCTTTTTATCGTTGTAGCAGAAAAGAACAATAAACGGAACAATTTAGATACAATGAAAAATTATACCTGAATGGGATGGACCGGGATAACCTGATGGAGGGTATCCACCTGGTGCTGGATATGCTGGTGGCGGATATCCAGGAGGAGGATAGCCTGCTGGTGGGTACGCAGCTGCTGGAGGATAGCCTTGTGGAGTGTAACCGTGTGGTGGATAACCATGTGAGGGATATCCTTGTGGGGGATATGGTGGAGGAGGGTAAGCCCCTTGTGGGGGGTATGGTGGAGGAGGGTATGCCCCTTGTGGGGGGTATGGTGGAGGACGGGGGTAGTGTCCAGCTCCAGCAGCATATGCAGCAAAATTAGAAAATAGCCCTTTATCCTCAGTATCATTCTTGTGATTTCCGTCTCCCATTTTTCTTTAAAGCAGATCAAAATTGCGCAGTAAAAGAAGGACCAAGAACTACTAGTCAATATGACTACACAGCAAAATAAGACTACCGTCTCTGTATATGCATATTAGCTTATATGTAGAAGAAGTTAACAAATGAGATAAAATAACCAATTGCATCATTATTCTACCAGAAATGATGTATCTAGGTCTTTTAGTATTAGTTTTATGAAGAATGCATGGTATTAGGGGACCGTACATTTGCATTTTTCAATTGATGAGAAAAACATGTATTCACACATCATCAACTTTTTACAACAGATCAGAGTCCATACAGATATCAAAAGCACACCAGCGTGTTGGAAGTAAGCCGTAATGGCTTCTTAATATTGCAATGGTAAATATATATATAGGAATGATCTCCTAAGCATCGTTGCTTAACTTATGTTAAGCACCGGTGACATGGCACGCCATTTAATTGGTGAATCATTAAATATATGGACCTACCATCAACTTATTAACCGATTAAATGGTGTGTCATGTCACCGGTGTTTAAGAGATCATTTTCGTGTATATATATAAAAGAAGCAAACCCACATATTTATAAAGGTTCACCCTCTACGAGAGAATTACGCCCACTTCATTGTATCTCCCAATCCACCGCCAAACACACAATTGAGAAAGAACTTCAACAATCCTGATTTTATAATTCTTTTGTAAAATTAATAGTATCTTCTGTGGGAGTGTGATTCATATCATCATCTTCAAAGTAACAAGATCCACATAATTAATCATAAATTGCATGCATACCCACATCAAGAAATTCAAAATTTCATACGTACGATTGATTTTTAAAACTAAAGTGATTCACTAAAAACAAGAAACAGGAAATCGATGTACGAGAAAGAGTGGGGGGGGGGGGGGGGGGGAAGAAAAAAATGAAAATAGAGGTTTACCCAATTGAACTTGCTCAAGAGATTCTTCCGGTAAGTTATTTTGGTTTAACGAAGGCTAAAGTGGAGTTGTTAAACAGAAATCTCCTGGTTATCATTTTTTTCCCCCTAAATATTATAACCAAAATTTTTAACAGCACGTTTGGTAGGTATTTTAATCCAATTAATATCAATTTTTTTTTCGTTATTTTACAATTTTAGTTGTCATTTTTTAATTTTTCTCTTCCAAATAGGACCCACTTTATCTCTAATGATCAAAAAATCAATTAATAAAATATCTATCAAACAACCACTTTTATGTATAGTATATGCATGCACTCTGTCAATTTATGAGGAGGATGGCGATCATGCTACGTGTATATAATGATTTACATATATATGATGTGATGAGATATGATTTGGTCATAATTTTTTCAATCAAATAAAAAAATCTCTCTCCACTCTTTGTCATTATTTATATGTAAACTATTTTGTAATTCCATTGTTATAAATATAAGTAACATCATTCGAGGTTAGACAACTTTTTTCATTGACCGTTGAGAAAAGAAAAATGAAAAACACAACGACAAGTACTACCCATCCCTGACAATTATTCCCTTGTATAAGGGAATAACTCCAATAAGCCCCCGTTTGACCCCCATTACCTGAAAATGAAAATTGGGGGAGTAGTATTTTTTTAAAAAATGAGTGATTGAAAAAGAAGGAAAACTTTTCGATTTATGTGTAATATTATTTTATGAAAAATTGTGTGGTTGAAAATAGAAGGGAGAAAAATGAAATGTAATGTAATTGAATTTAATGAGGATCAAACGGGGGTTCTTAAGGCTACTACTCCTGCTCGAGTTGCATCCAATTTCCCAAAAAAAAATTAAATAAATAAATAAAATAAAATAAAATAAAATTCCAATTGTGTCAAACTTTTCATTTTTGGAATGGTGGGTTTTACCAATCATGTAAATTTCTTTTCTCGACAACTAATCAATTTTTTAAGGTTATATGTAATTAAGTCCTTGTTTGAGCCATATTATTTCCACAAGAATACATTTTCAAATAGTGTATTAATGAAAAATGTGTTGTTAAAAAATAAAGAAAATTCTACATTTGCGTGTATTATTATTTTATAGAAGAATGTGTGATTGAAATGATGTCAAATCACTGTTTAAAAAAATATATATATATATATATATTTTTTTTTTTTTCCTTCTTTTTTTTTTTTGGTACCTAGGTGTCCACCTTACAGCGACTAATCCTAGAGTCTACGATTTAGCTCATCTTCACGCAGACTAGATAAACAGCGGGTTGTGCCCCAAACTGGCCAGGTCCAAGAGTCCCCCCCAACTGAACTGCCAAAGTGTCGAGCGAGTCAAACATATGCATGCGCCTTGCCTTCCAAAGAACTCATACCTTCCAGGAAATATCATGATTTCCAGGAGAAAGCCTTGCTTTCCAAGAGCCCCATGAATCGAACCCGCAACCCCTGAACTGCCCGCCTTTAAGAACTCTGTCCTTTACCAGTTGAGATGTGCCCCGGGAGGCAGTTTAAAGATATATTCTTTTGAAAGAATATGGGTCATATAGGATCTAAATGAAATTTGTATTATTTTATCATGATTATATGATACACGAGGAGCTTGATTATCTATTTTGAAAAAGTTATCTTTAATCTTCTCCATATTATTTAAACATTTTAAAAGCTAAATCTAACAATCCATTATACAAATCGCTCCAATTAAGCGTCAAATTTCACTTGGTGTGGACACATTTAGGAGTGACATTTGCACATGAACATATCACTTTTGATATACTCCCTCCGTTTCATAAAAATAAATTTGATTTTCTATTTCGTCAATTTCCATTGGATTATGCTATACGTATATTAGAATGTTCATAACAATGTCCACCCTCCTCAAATAGAGGGGGCGAAAAAATTATGCTCCCATTTGACCCCCATTTTGTGGAAATGAAAATGGATAGAATAATATATATTTTTTTTATATATAAAAATGAGTAGTTAAAAATGAAGGAAAAATTTTCAATTTATCTGTAATATTATTTTATAGAAGATTGTGTGGTTAAAAATATGAGAGAAAATGGAATGAAATTTAATGGAAGCCAAACGGGAGCTATATTTTGAACCATATTAATTACTTTTTCTTAATTTGTATGAAATAGAAATAATACCATCTTTATGGAACAGAAGGAGAGGGAGTATCTAGTATAGTAAATTGTTTTTAAAAAAAAAAGGAAAAGGGCAAAAAAAAAAGGGGATAGCATTGTGTTCTACTAAACTTGAAAAAGTGCTTTAAAAGTCATATCTAGATGATATTATTCAACTAATTTGTTTTCTATTTTCACGATTGAAATGGCAACACATCTTAGTACAACGTATTGTACTTTCGGTTCATCTGATAAAACAAGTCAATATGCCACGAAGGGACTACGGTGACGGCAAGCCCTCAAGAGGGAAAAACGTAAAAACTCACAGTTTCGAAAGCAATGATGGCAGAGAAGAATTCAACTCAAGTCTATGATTAAAGCAAATTAGTCCAGTGACAATGAGAAAAGAATATTGGTACAGGAACTGATTATACAAATTTCATTTGATGCCCACATTCAAATTCTCATCTTTTTAGCTACCTTAGGCCTAAGATGACCAGAACACAGTTTTTCTTTACATGGATTTTAATACTAGTAGCATTTCAACAGCATCATGCTGTTAGCTCCGATGTTCAAGTGAGATCAGGTAAATCACAACCACCTCCATGGGGTTTGGGTAGGGGGGCTCTTTCACAATTCCCACAAATTTTTTTATGTTCAAGAATGCAAGTTTCTCACTTGAGCCTACCTGGCCATCTTCTGAATCTTTATTACAGTTGGTTTCAAGATCAGCCCTGCAGAGTACAGTTCAAGAACAAGTGGATATTTTCTAACAACTTCGGTAAGCATTTTAGTATTGTTTTACTAGGTTGATAATATTGGTAACACCAAGTTTCACGGGGTGCCTTTCTTCTTGGCACAGAAAGGGACACCGTGCGGCAGTAGTCTGCTCCGCTAGACTACCTTCCGCCTTTTCTCGGTCGCGTCGGGACGAAAGAAAATTTGATTGCAATTTTGTAGAAAGCTTACAATTGAGAATTTGAATACATTGAAAGTAAATTGAACATTGATTGCTGAAAACTGAACATTACAATTGATGAAAGCAGAAAATTAAAAATGCTGGTGCAGGGGGCGGACACCAGTGAGCTTGAAAGATTTTTGAATGACTAATACCCCCTATAATAGCATTCTGAACAAAAACCCAAGTGACGGGAGTAGACGTTTAAAAGACGAGGAATCATACTAATCTTTACCAATATCAGAGCTATTTTACAATTAAAATAACTATTACAATGAAACGAAAATTACAACTCAAACTTGAAGTAATATTTACAATGTGCGGCCGAAGTTGGGCAAACTGCGGCTGCGATAGTGTCAAGGGGCTAAGTAAAGCTGCGGTCCTTGACATTCTCCCCCATTTGTTTTGGCGACGTCCTCGGTGCCATCAATGCATGATACTCTTCAATTAATGATTTGAAGGCCCCGAGATCTTTTTCTCTTTCCCAAGTATTCTCCTCGCTGCTGCATCCCATCCATTTGACCAAGTACTCCTGATGATCTTTTCTAGAAGCCCGAGTGATTCGATGGTCAAGAATAGCTTCAGCAACCTTCTTTCCAGCTTTCTTCAGTTCAAATACAGGTCGCTTTGGCTCATTTCTAGATGAGTCCTCCTTATCCGAAAAGTATGACTTCAACACACTAACATGAAGGACCTTGTGGATTTTACACCATGAAGGGAGTTCAACTCTGTATGCAACTCTTCCAATCCTCTTCACAATGGGTAATGGTCCAATGTATTTTGGTGACAATCTTGAGTCCTTCCCTCTTGTTGGTTTGTAAACATTTCTGTCGGGAAGCTTAACCATTACCAGATCTCCAACATTGAATTCAATAAAACGGCGCTTTAGATCTGCAGCCTTTTTATACCGTTTTTGAGCTTTTTCAAGATAACTCCGAGCAATTTCAATATTTCGTTTCCACTCTTGAGAAAAAACTCTTTGCTTGAGGGGACTTGGTACTTCGTTCAGTATCCACCGTATGAGGGAGTAGCGGTTGCTGGCCAGTAACAATCTCAAAAGGACTCTTATTGGTGGAAGAGCTCTTTTGGGCATTGAAGCAAATTTGGGCCGCATCCAAAAGTTTTACCCAGTTTTTCTGCGAAGTAGAGATAAAGTGCCGAA